ATTTAATTTGACTTAAACACGGCAAACACGCTTTCTTGAGAATCCTTGTCATTGTGTGCATAAAAAAGTGTAGAAATAAAAACGTATGGCGTGTGTTAATACGTCATACGTTTGCACATGCGCCATGAGTGGTTCTGGTACTTTTTGGGTCACAGCCGCTTGCAGCGCCACTTCAACATTGTGATATCCTCAAGAGGGACGAGCAAAATATCAAACACGCCAGAAGCCCATGCGAGCTCACGATTGCTGATCGGTAGCTGATCACATGCTGTTAATCGCCTCTTGCCTCTTTTTCCCTTGCGCAGCTGATTTCGTTATTGTATGTTCTGCCTCTTGTGTGTTTTTGACTTGTTTCCTTCTCACAGTCCTTTCTATGTTCTATTTGTCACACACACTAGCGACAGTTACGACAATATAGTGTAAAACTACCCTGAAATGTATGGACTGCCCTCTAGTGTCAGGAAACTACACGCTGCCAATTTAAAGGTGCAACATGTAAAAATTTTACTATGAAATAATCAGAAACAGTTTAATACCTCAATCATGTCGGAAGGAAGGTTGTATTGAAGCAGATGTCCTTCTCAGTCGACTGGAGGGGTTGTGACTTTTCTCCTTTCAAATAGGCTGAAGAGGAGTGTAGTCTTTGTTTACAATCTGTCCCGCCTTCATGCTTCCTGGTTCCAGAACCAATCACGTTTGAGCTACTTATCAACTTGCTATGTATGACTCGTCTTCACCCGTCACCTAGAATCTCCTGACACTGATCCGTAACTGGCAATAGTTGCTCAGAGCGGACATGTGTGCTTTACTACATTTACAATATGCAGTACCCAGATTTGACCACAAGATGTCATTCTTACTTGATGCCCCTTTAAAGTTGTGAAAAGATTTTTTCTTTCTTTTCTGTATCCTTTTCTATGGTGAAGCAATGGGAATTGTTGTCTGAGAGCCAACAACCAGCCTTCCTTATGAAGTAAATTAAAATTCGCCTGGATCCTTATAAGTGAGGTAGAGTAACTTATAGTTTGCTGCATTTATTATTTCTCATCAAACTTTATTGGAAACCACTTCATGCCAGTTTTTCTGGTAAAGTCTCCTCAGTTTGCTTGCTGCAGTTCTTTTTCAATGCATTTCAAATTCCTTTTCTCCCAAAACTCCTCACCTCGCCTCACCTCGCAACACCATTTTTGCCTCATTTTCTCTTTCCCTCCATCCCTGTGAGCAGGTGCACAGTGACAGAGTCACTGAGCTGTGAAATCTCTGCTTCTTGAGACACATTTCTTGCCTCTCCTTTTCAAACACACACTCACGCAACACACTTTTTGTCCTATTTTCTCGCTTTGTCCTCTCGTTTATTACATCTTCCTCTCTGTCTGATCACGGAGTAAGGCGTGCATGTACAATTTTAATTAATTTACTTAAAGGATTAAAAAAAAGAATCCAAATGCAGCTGAGGGAGTAATCTTTGCAGAGTATTTTTATTTAACAACAGAAAATTTTGCATGGCTGTGTGTGTGCGTATGTCTCTGACCACATCTACATCTTTAATGTCTCAGACTGAATTATGTATGAAGCCTCTGGGCTCAAAGATGCACACACATCACTTCCACTTGCACAAATATCATCAAGTACAAGTAAATATGAGGCATGCAAAAGTTCAGCTCAAATCTAGTTTGCTCTACGATTAAATCCTCTCACGTGGAAGAACGGATTTCTAGTACAAGCTTCCTGTTTACATGCTGCACACTTCCTTCTGAGCCCAATCCAGATGTCACCTAAACATTTCTATTGTCTCTTTCTATGTCTGCTTATTCTGTTGGTCATGCAGACTACTGGTTGTGCATGCCACAAAAAACATGCAATTGTGTCGATCCACTGCAGCCGTGAATGCTTTATAGCTCCAATTTGACTTTCAAATGCCTGTCATCTTTTTAACATACCCACACACACTTGCTTTTCCCAAAGCCTCTCATGAAGATGTGAAGCCGAGGTCAAGGTTGGTTTCTATAGCAACTGTGCATAATAATGTCCATGACCCACCTGACCAGCATGCCTCCCTCTTCTGCAGCCTCATTATAATATATGAAAATTAGCACCCTTCCTCACAGATGCTAGGGCGTCTTTTTCCTCATCGCACTTGTAATTATTATTATTATATTCACCACTCTCTGTTTTTAGCTAAAGATAAAGACATGAAGAATATGCACAAAAACTGTTTAATGAGAATATAAGTAAGTCATAACTGAAGCCTTTGAAGATAGCGACACAACTTTTACACCACGGACAAATCAAGACAAACTTGAATTGTGCATTTGCTGCAAGGTCAAAATATATTTTTAAAAAGTAACGACTCGGTTGTTTTTGTCACCTGAAATATTAACACACAACAAAACCACACGTGAAAACCAATCACACACAACCGATTTGCTTTTAACACTTAAAAAAAATAAATCCATCCATCCATTTTCACTTATCCAGGATCGGGTCGCGGGGGCAGTAGCCTAAGTCGAGAGGCCCAGACTTCCCTCTCCCCAGCTTCTTGGGCCAGCTCCTCCGGGGGAATCCCAAGGTGTTCCCTGGCCAGGTGAGAGACATAGTCCCTCCAACGTGTCCTGGATCTACCTTTAGGCCTCCTCCCGGTTGGACGTGCCTGGGAAAACCTCACCAGGGAGGCGTCCAGAAGGCATCCTGACCAGATACCCGAGCCACCTCAACTGGCTCCTCTCAATGTGGAAGAGTAGCAAATCTACTCCGAGCCCCTCCCAGATGACTAAGCTTCTCACCTTATCTCTAAGGGAGAGCCCAGCCACTCTGCATAGAAAACTCATTTTCAAAAAAAATATTTGTCTTTATCTAAGATCATTCAGATGGTTTAAAGCTACAAACAGCTCACTGTCTTTAAAGAGCAAGCCACCTCCAAATCAACTTTCTATAGCTAATAAACTTTAAAGGAGTGTCTGATCATGCTGTAGACACGTGTAGTCAATAATTTGGCAATTAAGTGCATCTTAGTTAAAAGTTAAATATTCTGCCTAAAACTGTCAGTGTTGCGTCGTCTTCAGGTAAAACCTCTGGCCTAGGTGTACACTGTGATGTTAGCAGGTGCAATATGATGTCACAGTGTTGTTGTGAGCCTGTGTGTGTGTGTGTGTGTGTGTGTGTGTGTGTGTGTGTGTGTGTGTGTGTGTGTGTGTGTGTGTGTGTGTGTGTGTGTGTGTGTGTGTGTGTGTGTGTTAGCAACTCTGCCGTTTTGGTCTGCAAGACAACAGCATTTCTTGCATTTTTCAAACAGGAAGTGGGAGTGGAGTAAGACTCGGGGGTGACGGCCTTTTTAACCAAATTTTCAGCCAAAAATACAAAATCCAATCGCATGTGCAAAAGCTTGTAAGCTCTAATGTTATTTGCTGCAAAATGGCTTAAAGGTAAACAAAAACTGACGTTACATGACTGAACTAGAGCTTAAACTTCTTCTGAACAATTAATTGTCTTTCATTTATTTTAACAGTTGTTTATTTGGTCCAGTGCAACAATAATTAAAATCTGAGCATTTCATAAGGGAATACAAGTTTTTTTGGATCCTTTCATGTCAGATCTATAATATTCTTCTACTGCATTAAAGGGGACATATTACAGGGACTTTACAGAGTTTTGAATTTTTATGCTCGTGATTGCCCCCTCAGGCCAAAAGCGTAACGGCAGCTGCAATAGTAGGCTCGTGCACGAGGCGCGCATGCTGTAGGTGCACACTCCTTAACGAAAATAACAGCTGAGACAGTCCCTTGTGTGTGTGTGTGTGTGTGTGTTTTAGCTGTCAAACTTCCATAATGTCCCTTTAAGCAAAATTCACCTTTTGTTTCCTTTTGTGTGGCCATGTGGCTCTCTACTGCCTCTATAAACATTCCAAACATGAAAATGAACTCTCCATCCAGTTTCTATCACTGTTTGATTTTAGGAAGTAAGTGCCTAAAACAAGCAGTTTAAAAAAGTCCCAAATTGTGATGTCACTAATAGAAATTAGCGTAGGACCAACTCTCACCTTCAAAAGAGAGATGCAAGCAGAGGATCCGCGGGTCTACTCTCAGCCTCTCCCAGATATCAGAGCTTCTCAGCTCATAGCGGCCTTAAGGTGTGAGTGGGCGTGGCCAGCTTCAGCATGTTTTCTTAAAGCTCTGAAACAGCTCATTCTGGAAGGTACTGAAAATGTAAAGAATTAAACACACTTTATGTGAGAGAAATTTAGAGCCAAGAACTCCATGAACATACTTTGTTTCGGGCATAGAACCATTTTAAATAAGAGAAAAGTCATCATTTGTCCCCTTGAAGTTTACTTTGGCCAAATATTGAAGATATAAAACTGTTCTTGGGATAAAATTCTAAATCACAAGGTCTGAGTTTTATGTGTTTTTATATTGGCTAAGTTCAATTAGCTGTAGTCACCATTTAGATTAGGTTGTAAAAGCTTAATAATAGCAGTGTTTTTGTTTGTCAAAATCAATCCTCAAATCAACAAATGATATTTTATGAAAGTTCCATGACAATTTGGCCAATAAAACCCAATCACACACACTCGGAGAGAGAGAGAAGGGCTAACGAAAACAATATGGCCGGACTTTATTTCTCACAGCAGCGCATACAATCAGATTAATCTGAAGTTTAGTTATTTTATTTTTCCATGGAGAGTAATCAGTGAGACTACTGTAGTTGTATCCTGATGACAGCACGGAGGAGCCAGCCAGGACCACGTGCCCGCGCACGATGCCTTGCGCGTCACCGTCATATGCTGCGCACAGTTAAAATCGGTGCGAGAGAGAGAGAGAGAGAGAGAGAGAGAGAGAGAGAGAGAGAGAGAGAGAGAGAGAGAGAGAGAGAGAGAGAGAGAGAGAGAGAGAGAGAGAGAGAGAGAGAGAGAGAGAGAGAGAGAGAGAGAGAGAGAGAGAGAGCGAGAGAGAGAGAGAGAGAGCGAGAGCGAGAGCGAGAGAGAGAGAGAGAGAGAGAGAGAGAGAGAGAGAGGAGAGAGAGAGAGAGAGAGAGAGAGAGCGAGCTGCTATTACTTGTGACAGAGAGCGGCAGCGAGCACATCCAGTCCGGGGAGCCGCTGCTGCGTCAAGGTGGGAATAAGGAGAAATAATCTGTTTATCGTGTTCGCGGCCGAGGTTCTGCTGCGGCTCCGCGGTGCTAAACCAAACCGCTCGTGCTTTCCAGCGCGATTCCGACGATCTACCTCCATCCAGCCTGATCCAGTGTGTCCTTTTCTCTCCTTGCTGTTGTTGTGTGTCCGCAGATGCTGAGCGTCGCCTTGCTGTGCGTGTGCGCCGTTGCCCTCGGACGCGTCTCTGCTCGCTCAGACAGCGGCAATTTTCTGGATGATAAGTGGCTGACTGGGAGATGGGATAAATTCAGAGACGTGAGTAAAACGTTATTGGTTACAGGTTCGGTCTCCGTGTCCGTTCCCCTTCCACGTTATCGCATTTGCACCCCCTCCCTGCCTCCACCCCCCTGACATTGGTTTGGGATCATGCGCTCCTGGTTTTTCTGTGGTTTTGTCGCGTCACGGGGTCCGTCTGATGTGTTTATCACAGCAGTGATGTTGCTGGGAGGATCTAGGCTCGTCCTTCTGTGATAGCAGCCCTGTTTGACAGAGATACCCGAGGCCTCACAGCCAGGACGTCTCCAAGTGGGCCTAATTATGGTCAGGTATAAGGATGACCTGAACCCTTTACAGGAAGTCTGAGCTGAAGTAAAAAATCAGCGGCGATTCAAGTCAAAACGTGTGTTCCTTTAACACACTGAACACAAATTCTCAAAATAAGCAAGTCCCAAATGGTTTAGACACCAAAAAGTAGAGCAAGTCCTCTTGGAGATGTGATCCCACGAGGCTGTCACTGAGATGCAAAAATGGTTCCACCTATTTTCTGTAGCCTACATGTGATTTCCTCTGGTGTGATGGTGATCTGGTTGATTATGCTGCTGGGAGCCCGCAGCATGTCAGCCACCATTAACCTGGCATGTTAAGGCCACTTAGGGTCATAATGCTGCTGCAGGCTCTACAGTTAATGCCTCTGATCATGTGGGCCTGCTGCAGATAATTACCCTCCTGCACAATGTTCATGCATGTCATGTTATTTTAGAATCCCGAAATCTATCAAACGAGCCAAACAATCAGCTCGTTTTTTAGGGTCCTCTGGCCCTTATTTTACTAATAAAACACACATTAGCTATATTTTAGGCACAAACAATTGTGGAAAACACCAATTGATGTCTTTTTTTTTCTTATTTTACTTAAAAACAAAATCGTGCCCCAGGCCACTGATTTAATGGCTCCACAAACAGAACAGAATGATGCATGCTTCAGCTTGTGCTTACACACACACATGAATATAACTGCATGTGTATGCACATAAAGTCTAAAAACTGTTTTTTTAATGCAAAATCTTGAGTCTGATATGGAACAAACGGTGATGCAATGATGTCTATTCATTCATACATGCAAGATTTCTTCTCACACAAGGGGAAAAAACATTTTGTTAGTGTATTTTTTGTCAGAACAGACCTTTTCCCCGCCAGTCACACTGAAACGTGTGGGCCCGTCGGCACAGGTGAGCCCATGTGATCCACCCCAGATCCAGATTTGGATTATGCAAATAAGCTGTCATGAACAAAAGGTTAGGAGATTTTTAGCTCTGTCTAGGAGGATCTCACTTCTGCTGCTTGGAGACAAAGATAGAAAGATGGATGACTGTGCATTCTCACCTTTTGTGTTTTCACCTTGAGGGTTTAACCAGAGTAAGAGGTGAAGCTGCATCTGCCCTCTTTCATTTCCTGTTTTTGGCAGCGCATCATGTTCTTTTGTGCAGTAGCGTTTTTAACACATTGCAGAAGATACATTTAACACGAGCAGCTCTGTGCGTATTCAGTTTCCTCTTGCTTTGAGACTTGTCACACCACTGTTGAGTCTTGTGGCTCCAATTTAATCCCTGTGCACCATTACAGCACTAATAAAACCCCACTTAATTAAAAGACCTAATATTCTTTGAAGGAATGCAAACTGACCCATAACTAATTGTCTAAGTTGAGCCGCCATTTAGAAAGAAGAAAGAAAATATCATTTTTATAGCGCCTCTCAAGATAAAAATCACGAGGCGCTTCACAAAAAATAAAAAATAAAAAAAAATTTAAAAAAATAATGTAAAAATATAAAAAAGCATTTAGAAAATGTTTAAAAATATATTAAAAATGAGCAAAAATAGGCAATTGGGATTTAAAAGAAAAAATATTAAGAAAGAGAGAGAGAGTGAATAGGAAAGAGGGAAATCAGTGGATCCTGAGGAAGGTGGAATAGGTGGGGAGAGCAGAATAAAGAGAGAGAGGTGAAGAAGGTCATACAAAAGCCAGCTTGAACAAGTGAGTCTTCAGCTGCTTTTTAAAGGAGACCACTGAGTCCACTGATCTCAGGTTCAGGGGGAGAGAGGTCCAGAGTCTGGGGGCCACAGCAGCAAATGATCTGTCACCTTTGACCTTTAGCCTGGTGCTGCACAACCAGTAGGCTTTGATCGCTGGACCTCAGAGACCTGCTGGGGGTGTAGGGACTAAGAAGATCACCAATGTAAGATGGTGCTTGTCCATGTAAGGCCCTATAGACCAGAACCAGGATCTTGAAATGAACCCTGAAGTTGACTGGTAGCCAGTGAAGCTGGAGGAGAAGCGGGGTGATGTGGGTGTGTTTGGAGGACTTGGTCAGAAGCCGAGCACAGGCGTTCTGAACCACCTGTAGACGGTTCAGGGAGGTTCTGCTCAGACACGTGAAAAGAGAGTTACAGTAGTCTAAGCGTGAGAAGATGAAGGAGTGGAGAACTGTCTCAAGTTCAGAGCGGGACAGAATGGGACTCAGCTTAGCAATGTTCCTGAGATGGAAGAAGGAAGAGCGAACAAGAGAACTGACATGAGAATCCAGGGTGAGAGCTGGGTCAAAGGTCATGCCAAGATTCCTGACAGAAGGTTTGGTGTGGGAAGCAAGCTGACCAAGAGAGTCTCTGACTTTGGGAACCAGCTTGTTTGGGGCACAGATGAGGATCTCAGTCTTATCTTCATTCAGCTGAAGAAAGCTCCCAGCCATCCAGGTTTTGATAGAGTCTAAGCAGGTGTGTAACAGCTGCAGCTTAGACATCTCATGGGGCTTAAAGGAGATGTACAGTTGGATGTCATCTGCATAAAGATGGTAGGAGATTCCTTTGAAGGAGCTCAGGATGTGCTGAAGAGGAAGCATTTACCGTGGGTACGACCCTCAGCTAATGGAATAAACTGTATTTGTAGGGCCAAGAGTTAAAGGTCAGCTTTACTCCTATTTTTATTACATTTGAAATGATCTCCAGTAGAAATGAATGCCTTGTGTCATTCTCCCGGGAAAAAAGCTCCGGTGCGCCTGTTTGAGGAAGTAGACGTCATCCGGAGAAGAAATTGGCAGCAGACGGCAGAATTTGGAGCCTTATTTCCTGATGTTCGGGCATCTCCTCACTGATTGGTTAACAGCTCCACCACCAGCTCCATTTGCTTTGCAATGCCAATGTTTTATTGCCACAAATAACACAAGCTAATGCTAATAGCTAACTTCTACTAGTCGAGATGTTTCCTGGATGCTAAACCAACAACCCATTGCCAGTCAAGATGGATGAGTCCATGAATGTTAAGTGACAATGTGACGTAGATCTGTCAGGATTTTCTGAATCAAGCATTTATCTCAATTTTCTATCAGAAGCTAATACAGGAAATAGGTGTAGAAGACTATTTTCATGTTCAGCCTGCATGTTAAAGCCATACTATGCAACTTTTACATATTTTTCAATCATTTTCCTGAGCCAGTAAGTGCAAAAATGACATTTTACACATGATGAAATGTCACTCAGACCCCTACCGCCCTCTGTGGCCGGAATACCGCATTTGCTACATCAGTGTGGTGAGCCACCACCTGTTGGACCAAGAAAAACAGTTAGCTGACATACGTGGTACTGCAGTCCGCTTCCAGCTCGTTTCCTGCATGTTTTAGATCATGAAAACAGCTGATTTCTTAGATTTAGAGATGAATCACTCCTGTAGACACTAAAGAAGGCTGGGGAGACATTTCAGCTGCTAGATTAAGGTATTAAAAAGAGGAACGCACAGTGAGAACATAAGTTTCACCTCTGATTTGACCACAGATAATTAATAACACAAGAGGAGGCTATGAACAAACAAAACTACCAAATGTGCCTTTAAACTCATCATTTGAAGAAAAATATAAATAAAAAATGTCTTCACTCTTAACCTGCTCTTTAAAACATTAGCATTGATTAGCCGTGGCAGCCATCTTTAATTGAAATCTGTGGATGCACACCCAACAAATACTTTCAGAGAGTTTTCTTTTCCAAATAAGGCCAAACTTAGTAATAAAGCGATATCTCTGGATGGTATAACTGTTGTTCTAGTTGATACTTGTGTGGATGAAACTTGCAAGAGACGCCAGTCTGGTTCCTACAGTCATGCATAATGGAACACATGTATCCTCCGTACTGTCACAGCACTGGCACTCTGTAGAGGTTATAGCTCGAGGGGGGGTCAGCAGAGGAAAGCTGCAGCTGATTGCCATGACACATCCAGCGCAACCTGTGAGCAGGCAGACCATGTAAACTGTGACTCTGTGTCACATGGCATAAAATAAAATAAAATTAAATTAAATTAAATTAAATTAAATTAAATTAAATGTTTCAGGAGGTGAAAGGATTAAGTTTCTTATAAGTAAAGGGCAGAGCTGTACCCACTTTAAAGGGGTTACATAATGCATCACATTAACTCACCCTCTCATTGATGAAAAACGGGAACTGGAACGAGTGATGAAGCGAATGTCAGCCTGACCCACATGGAGAGTGACAGGACACAATACACCTCACACGTCTTGTGCTGTTTGTTAAATTCTCTTTTAAATAACATAAAATGGGAGTTTACAAACTGAATTTCACAAAAATAAAAGTATATTCTAGACTTTTGTAATACAAACTAAACAAGTTTGATTAAGAAACCTTCTATAGCAATCATGTCTGATTGCTGAGGCTGCAAACATGTCTGCAAAAGCATGTTGTGTGTGCTCTGGCATCTTAGCTGCTATAATTTTAATCAGGTGTAGGCATCAAGCACAATAAGAGTCCCTCTGAGTGATTCACAAACGTTGAAGGGAAGCAGAGCATTAAGGCACTTAGAACATAAGCCTGCCGTTTATTCCAGTCTAGTCCGATATTGATATTATGGACACCGATGCAGCAGTTAGGATCATTTCAATACATACTTTTGAGTGAGTCAAATCTACAGAGAACGGTGATTGATTTTTTATAAATCTTACATATGGAGACAAAGCTGTCTTAGAACTGTCAGGTTGGG